TGGAACAATCTTTTAAGATTGAATGCAACTGCATGAAAACATTAGATTTACATTTCGTACATTTTAAGGTGGTCTAGGTATCTGCAGAAGTACCAGATTCCTTCCTAGATGCTAACTCATCACCAATGCAATGGTGAGACAACAGAGGCATGATAACTTACTTGCATTAAGGTAACAACTGTAGAATTGTAGGTTTCCACGTACCGAGTGCAAGCCTAAAATCACGTCATCCCACCTAGACCAGACACAGGTTGGTACCAATCTACCATGACAAGTAATTCACCTCACTTTGCTGATGGTCCAGAGATGTTCCCTTTTTTTCCCTCCTGAATAATATAGCATATCCTCCACCATCTTTTTCTAAGAAAGAAAAGCATCACAAGAAAAGTTGGAAGAATAACTGCAAAAACCAAACTGCATTTCTTAAAACATTGCTTCCTTCAGGATTTTTAATACCTTGTAAAAGTAACTTACTAGGTGTTCCCCGCCCCCCATCCAAGACAATTCAATGAAACAAAGTTCCAGGTATGTTGGCAACTTCCGTTTGTGCCCTAAGGGAATGAGAAATACAAGCTGAATAGAAACGCAAAAATCCCACTATCTCATGACTAACATCTCTTACTGAGATTGAGTCAAACAAAACTGTGGCTCCCAAATAAAGGCTTCACTGGGGTTTCCTTAGGCCATCAAATTTCCAGCTAAAAGTAAAATCATTTTTCAGGAACTGCACATTTGCTTCTACTCCTGCCCAGCCACATAAATACAACTGGGGTGGACCAGAAAGGTTTTGGGGAACAGACTGTGTTCATTGCATTGAAACGGTGCCCAGTGAACTAGACCATGGGGTTTTTCGCTCCTGCAAGCTAACACAAGTAACTACCACTAAATCAAATGCTGGAACGTTTTTCTCAGACAACTGCCTCTGTAGGAGCGGGGGGGGGGGGGGAGGGGGCGGAAGTAGAAAAGGAGTTAAAGTTCATACCATCATAGACGTGTAGACCACCTTACCCTTTGCTTCTGAAGGTCTTGGTTCAAATTCACATTGGTTGCGTGAAATTAGCATACCCAAACTCTCCAGAAGACCCAAGAAGAGAGCTAGAGTTGCTGAGTGACAGCTTTTATGCCTGTTCAGAAGGACACAAACTTCCTCTACCATCTCTGCCTCAAGGCACTGTTACCAGCTCCTGGCTGATCAGTACAGAGAGAGTTTATCTACATTTTTTAGAAAAGTATCAAAATGCAGGTTAATCACAAAGTCTTCCTGGAAGCCCTAGAGGCTGACAGCTGCACAGTATTTCTCCTTTGGAGCCTTGCCAGCTGAATCAAATGGCTTACCTATTCAGGAAGAGAAGAGCGTGATGCCTGCCAAGACATTTGTCATTGTACCACTCCACTTTCTCACATTAAATTTTCTGGAATTAAGTGTTAGGTAACCAGACTAGTTATTTTGTACAAAAAGCTGAAGTGTCTTGTATTCTCCTAACATCTTTCTCAAGAAAAAAGGGAAAGAAAAAGTATTGTCTTAAGCAACAGCTGAGAGTGAAAGAATAGAATCTTTTAGAGCAACAGTTAACAGAAAAGAGGAATAATCCTTCCCCTTTTGGGGCCTGCATTTCCCCACCACTCTGCAGAACAACTGACATGCAGCAGGAACAGAACTGCTGCCATAACCAGAAGGTTTCACAGCGCCTCTGGTCATCCTGTCACAGAGGTGTGAAGCTCTGGCACATTAGCTATCCAAATCAGCTTAATAACTTACATCTTGCTTAAGCAAAAAGGGCCAGAGTACCAGTAGAGCAGTAAGAAAATGTTGCTTCTCTCACATGTAGCACTACATCCAACATCAAAATTGGACTGAGGCCCTCGCTCGTTTTTGGTACATTTTCTTCAGAGGCCAAGAGCTACTATCATAAACTGGCACTCATCTTTCAAGGCCTTAGGCGGGATGAGAGAGAATGAAAAATCACATACACAAAAACACGGGGGAAAGGGGAGACAAAGCTGTTACTACATCTTTCCCACCTTGCCTGTAGGAGGCAAGTTATAAACAAGCAAAATAAATGCAGCTACAAACCTCACCTAACAGTGCAAAGTCATCCAAAAGAGTGACCTGTTAGGACAGAAGAGTGAATACACACAACTTGCGACAGGGAACAAAGCACACGAGTCTCATGGGCACGCTGGATGCCAGTTTTACAGCAGGCTTACTTGCAAAGCACTCGGGAAGTTACAAGAGGTTTGCTGTGGAAAAGAGAAAGAGGTTTCACCCCCTGCTCCAGGACAGTCTCCCAGCTGATTCCCAATGTTAACTTAAGAACATTTATTACTTCAGTTTTGCTCTTTACTCCAGTCTTTACTAGTTACTGCATCTCAAACTGTCATTATTACCTCTTTCTAATGGAGAGAGTACAACTGCAGTAAAACTATAAAGTCTGCAGTTTCTACGATTCATATCCTTTTTTGAAAGGGAAGGCCAGCATATACTCCTATAGAACTACACTGATTCATCCTAAGTCATCTAAGCTGAATTAAATGAACTTTGCATCCTCAAATTTCTTAATGCTTCCTGCTTTCCCACAACGGCAAAGATAATTTTCATTTATCACCAAATTTAACAAGACCTTTTGCTCCAACTGTTTTATTTTCCTTATGCTATAAGCAGCTGCTTCCATCTGGTTAGAGGAAGTACTCACATGTGAAGCACAGGGTTTTCTTATAATGGCTTGAGCTTCTACCAACATATTCATTAATCTTGTAGTATTTTAGCACACCACCTCCAGAAACAACAGCTACACAAAAATTAGTTTTTCAGAGTTAGTGAAGCCTCTTACCAACTCAACTGCTAAAGAAAAATCTTGAACAGTTTAACCATAAGAACTCGTATTACTTTTTGCATGACTGAGGGACATGCTTTGACTTTTAAACATAATGGATTAGCAACATGAATCTAAGGATGCATCTCTTATCTCCCCAGATGACTAAGAAATCGTTCCCTTTACACTCAACTTATTTCTAGCCCCATACTCACCTTGGAAACAGTAACCTCTTTTCAACTGCAAAGGTGTAATAGAATATTTGCTGCTCCTTCTGTAAAAGGAAAGGCTTCAACAAAAAGGCTATTGTATCTCAGACATCTAGGTAACAGGCTCTGAAGTCAGATTTGTTTGCTTTACAGTAATTTGTGTTTTCATTGAATCTCCTGTCCCCAACCCCTCTCCTGATGAACTTGAAAGTTTACATAATCTTTGACCGTGTTACAGACTTCTTCTTCTTAGTGAGTTTGGAGATGACACTAGTTCAGCGCTTCTAGTCTTTCATTTCCAGTTTGCTCTACAATGTTTTCTTGCCTCTGTTTCTCCCACAGTATCTTAGACTGAATTTACGATAGACTTTCAATTCTTTTCAATTCCCCAAACCACAAGTGGAACCTAACAAGGAGGGAGGTCCTCACTCTCTCTCACCCATGTCTGCTGGAAATACTATGCTTTCAGCAGGTTGTTTCAATGGAGCTGTCTAGCTTTGCTGTCACCTGTCCTATCTGCATGCCCTCCGCCAAGGAAAGCGCTGCCTGCCCACCCACCTCCACCTCGCTGTCCAGCCAGGCAACACCCACAAACATACAGTCCTATGCCAAAAGGTGCACAGAGGGTGCGCTGCACAAAGCCTCAATTAACTTGACAACGCTCTTATCCTAGGATTTTTTTTATTAAAAAAAAAAAACATGCTTACTAATTATACAGCAGTCCCTTTGAAAAACAGGAGAGGCTACTGACAAAATTTCTGCAGAGCAGAGATGTCAGTAATGCTCAGACATTGGGGCCAGGATTGACCCCAATTTGATTGGGGCCAAATTTTTAGTTGTAGAAAATGTCACTTTCTTCAGAGTTTGCACTCCAGGAGAGTGGCACCAAGCAGAACAACAGCAAGCTCAGATAGAGGCTCTCGCTCACCTTTCCCCTTACGAAAGGCAAGCATCTGCGCTTGTGCTCGTCACAAAGTGCATCATTTTGGATTGTGATCACTCCTTAAGTCAGAGCTGTCTTAATTGAGAAGACAAACCTCAATTCTTCACTTAAGCATCATTCCTTTACCCCTGAAATCCTAAGCCTGTTCTTTTTGGAGACTTCTGCTAAAAAGCATCACAGAGTATATTCCTGCTCATATCACCTCATCCACCACCACACACTAGCACTACTGCTTTTTCAGATGCTATTTGGCTTGTTGGTCTCTTAAAAGGTACTAAACCTACTTGTTGCTCTTACTTTCCATCAATATCTCCCTGAAGCAGTTCTACACCTGTTTCAAATAATCCCAGACCCCCCTCCTTGGTTCACACAGCCAATTGGAGAGCTTTGTCCTCAAAATTCAGAAAAAAAGTACTTTCCCTA